TTTTTTTTTTTTTTCCTAACTATAATAACTTAAATATGTATTATTTGGTATTTTGCATCATTATTGAATAACATTATTTGAATTACTTAGTAAATATTGAATAACTTCATGCTGAATTATATCCATTAGTTAGTACTATTTGTATTTCTTGCCGTTATAGGGTGGGGGAACATGCTGGCAAATCGGACCGTTTTCTCGACCAAGCGAATATCGTGAGCACGTACTCTAGTAAATTATATGTATCTCAATGGTTAATATATTCCTGTTGCAGTCACATTGGATAAAAATGGCCGCGACCAAAACTCTTAAGTTTTATTTCGTACGCGCAGGAACAAGCGCAACCTATATTCTTTTTTTTTGTCTATGGAACAACCCAACTCTACCGGTTGGATAACTATGTATATCTATAAACAAGGGTAATATCTTATGCTCACGAGTGCTACCTACCACTGCCACTAGAACTAACACTAGACCGAGACCTAGAAACATTCAGATTTAGTCCCACGTCTCTCAAGATGGCTAAACCCGAATGATTCTAGTTCTAGGTCTTGTGTTAGTTCTAGTGATAGTGCTAGTGTAAAACTAGAACTAACACTAGACCTAGAACTAGAAATATTCGGGTTTAGCCGTGCGTCTTCAGACTTTTCTAAGTTCTTGTCTAAGACGCCAGGCTAAACCTAAAACTTCCTAGTTCTAGGTCTAGTGTTAGTTCTAGTTTTAGTTGTTATTTAACCCTAAATTCTTGTACATTTTAACTGATCTAAAAATTTTTTTTTTTGATTTAATCCACTTACCTTGCTTATAATTTCATCCATTTACCCATTTTGTATTAAATACAACCTTTCATTCCAATTAATTATGTGTTTTTCATTAAAAAAAACTTAAATTCAACGTCAATTTTAACAAGCAAAAGCAACTGCAATATTTTTATCATAATCACCATGATAACCGAGTCAAATCCTATCAAGTTGGATAACCTAAAAATAATAACATTTTAACCGTTAATATTTCGCTTTATATTTTAATATTTTCTTTATTTTATTTTATATCTTTTTATTTTACATTTTTATATTTTTGTATATTGCTTCTTAAGTGAAATACACTGTATAATTAAAAACATAGAAATGTCAACTCTTCCAATGACGTCACAGAAAGGCTTTTGCGGGGGGATAAGTTCATAACAACAGCGTTCATATGGAGTTGGATAACCTAAAACAGCAAGGTCCGTTGAGTATTGGTTATAAGGTTATCCAACTCGAACAAATTGACGTTGACGGGGTGAGGTAGAAAACGTGACATCATTGGAGGAAAAGTATAATATAATATACAGGTGCCCATTATGTATGGAATATAGTATATAATATATTTTGGTATACAGGTGTATCTGAATGACTGCAACAAACTTCAAGGGTGGTTCTTTAGTGAATTTTAAAGGTACTTTGATATATGAACCATGGGCGACTTCGGCTCCCCTAAGGAGCTACATCCCTCCAAAAATGGCGGAAAATTTTGGTTTAATTTTTTTTTCTCAAAAACCATAAACGCTAGAAAAATGAAATTTGGGGAATATGTTTAACTCATAATACGGTACGTTTTGACCCTATTTGTACTTTCAACCTACCCTACTAAACTACTAAACGTAACCACCCCCGTTCAATTTATACCTAAATTTCTTTTATGAAAATGATAAATACATTGGAAAAATTTCAGTTAGATAAAACTATTCTAAACCTTTTTTGTCTCTCTGATGTTCTTCTAAAACTTAATAATTTCCGAGAAAAAAAATAATTAAGTAAACACTAACTGTTCAGCTGTAGGGTTGTTAATCGAAAGTTGGAATGAATTTTTAATGAAAAAATCTTAGTAGGCTTTGCAATTTTTGTCATAAATATTTTTGACGTTTAAATGTCAGTGGTTTTCTTACTACTATTATTGTTTTATTTAAAATTTTGAAACGTCAAGTGAACGAGCGTAAATGCGATAGAACTTTACTTAAAAATTAATTTGAAAAACAATAATAATAGTACGAAAAACACTGACAATTAAACGTCAAAACATTTCTGACAAAGATTGCAAAGCCTACCAAGATTTTTTCATTAAAAATTCATTCCAACTTTTGATCGACAAACCCGTTGTTTAACAAGCAGTGTTTGCTTTATTTTTTTTCTCAAAAATTAGTCGTTTTTGGAAAAATTTGTATAAGTATCAACTTTATAAAAAAACATTTTATACAAAAGTTGTTTAATATTTTATTTACCATAATAAGACAGCATTCAATTGTTTTTATTTCAGAAAACAAATGAGTAACGAATAACACTTGAAGTTTTTTAAATGGCCATGTATCCTTTCGTTAGGCTCATTTGATAGAGAATTGTTTTCTCTTTACGATGACGTAAAATTTTAGTACCCTTACACCAGAACATTTTTGAATAAAATTTAAAAATTGTTTATTAACAAAATTTAACTAATAACATGAATCTAGATATCCGAGATCGTCAAGTACCTCGAATTCCGAACACTAGATATAGAATTAGAAACATTCGGGTTTAGCCGTCTTTAGAGATGTGCGGCTAAAGCCCAATGATTCTAGTTGTAGGTCTGCAATAAAAATATACAACATAGTGATATCTAGCAACATAATGTTTGAACTCATTTTAATGTTTTTTTTAATAAAGAATACATCATAAGAAAACACCATGAAGTTGTCATTTGTCTATTATATGATAATTAACTTCAGATTTAAAATGTCAACCTCAATATTGACATATTTGTAATCTTCATTAAAAATCCTTTAAAATGAGTACAAACACGACATATTTATCTTCAGTATTAATGAAGTTATGGTCAACGTTCGGTTACAAATGTTAACGTCAATTTTGACATATTTGTAATCGTCGTGAAAAATCCTTTAAAAAGAGCCCAAACATGATACGTTTAATTCCAATATTACTCGAGATATAAGCAACTTCCAATTTGAAATGTCAATGTCATTTTGACATATTCTTAATTGTTATAAAATGTCTTAATATTTGTCACAAAAGCAAAAATACAATTAAAAAAAATCAAAAATTAAGGTTGGTATTAATATTTAAAAATTAAATTGTTATCTTCATTGTTGCTAAGTTCGGGTTTAACGATTTTTATTCAAACTTTTTTGTTTTTTGAGATAAGTGAGATGACGCACTTATCTGGACTCTTTTTAAAGTTATTTTAATGAAGATGACAAATATGTCAAAATTGACGTTGACGTTTCAAACCGGAAATGATTGTATTTCCATTAATATTAAACTTAAATATGTCGAGTTTGGACTTATTTTAAAGGAATTTTTATGAAGTTGACAAATATGTCAAAATTAAAAGTTGAAAGTTCGAACTTTTTGGTTTTTTGAGATTAATGCGTCAAGTTTGGACTCACTTTAAAGGTTATTTTATGAAGATTACGAATATAATAAAATTAAAGTTGACATTGACAACTTAAAATTTTTTTCACTACTAAACTCGACTGTTTTTAGTTCTAGGTCTAACTAGAATCACTAGAACTAACTAAGTGTTAGTTCTAGTGATAGTGCTAGTGTAAAACTAGAACTAACACTAGACCTAGAACTAGAAATATTCGGGTTTAGCCGTGCGTCTTTAGACTTTTCTAAGTTCTTGTCTAACAGGCCCGGCTAAACCTAAAACTTTCTAGTTCTAGGTCTAGTTTTAATTGTTATTTAACCCTAAATTCTTGTACATTTTAATTGATCTAAAAATATTTTTTTTTTATTTAATCCACTTACCTTGCTTATAATTTCATCCATTTGAATTAAATACAACCTTTAAATCCAATTAATTGTGTTTTTCATTAAAAAAACTTAAATTCAACGTCAATTTTAACAAGTAACTGCAATATTTGAATCTTAATCACCATGGTAACCGAGTCAAGTTGGACAACCGTAAAATAATAAAATTTTATTCCGATTTTTTTATCAATTCTAACCTAATTTTTATTAATTTTAAAGCAATTCGTTACGATTATTTCGCATTCATAACAAATTCGTTAATTGTAGTTAATTTAAGTCGATTCTAATTAAGAGAAATAAATTAAAAATATCTTTTTTTGATTTAATCCACTCACCTTGTTTATAATACCCTAGATAAACCAATTTTGAGTTAAATATAGCCTTTTAAAACAATTAAATAAGATTTTTTCCTTAAAAGAACTTAAATTCAATTTCAATTTTGACAAGCACCTGCAATATTTGGATCTTAATCACCATGGTAACCGAGTCAAGTTGGATAACCTAACAATAATAAAATTATAACCGATTATTTCGCTTTATATTTTAATATTTTTTTAATTTTAATTTAATTTTTTTTTTATATTTTTGTATATTGCTTCTTAAGTGAAATACACTGTATAAATAAAAACATAGAAATGTCAATTCTTCCAATGACGTCACAGCAAGGCTTTTGCGGGGGGATACGTTCATAACAACAGCGTTCATATGGAGGATATGGAGTTGGACAACCTTATACAGTGTGTTTACCATTACTCAACGGACGTTGGAAATATAGGTTATGTTTGAAATTTTCGATAACTTTAATTTAACCTCAATTCCTTAATTTTTATTAGATTCTTTTATGATCATAAAATGCATAAAACCAAACGTATAATTAATTTTTATAATAAATTTAATCGAACATTTTCAAATAACACTCAATATTATGATGTTGTGGTTATCGGTGGAGGTCATGCAGGATCCGAAGCATGTTCAGCCGCTGCAAGAATGGGGGCTAAAACATTATTGGTTACCCATAAAAAGAACACCGTAGGTAATTGTATCAAAATACTCGTAATTACTTAAATGGTCATTAAATAATTTTTAGGGGAGATGTCTTGTAATCCTTCTTTCGGTGGTATTGGAAAAGGGCATTTAATGCGTGAAGTTGATGCTTTGGATGGAATTTGTAGTAAAATATGTGATCAATCAGGTATTCAATATAAGGTAATAAATAGGTTTTGAAATAAATAATAAATTTCGATGTAAATATGAATTAGTAGGTTTTAAATAGAAGAAAAGGTCCTGCTGTTTGGGGACTAAGGGCTCAAATTGACCGAGATTTATATAAAAAACATATACAAGAAGAGTTGTTTCATAAAACTTCTAATTTAGATGTGATAGAAACATCCGTTGAGGATTTAATTATTGAAAATAATAGTGATTCATTAGTTGATTGTAAAGGAATTATTTTAAGTAAATAATAATTATTTTATTTGAAATTAAATTAATTCCATTTTTTTCTTATAGAAGATGGTACAAAAATTAACTCAAAAGCAGTTATAATGACAACAGGTACTTTTTTAAAAGGTCAAATAAATATTGGTTTAGATATAAGACCTGCTGGAAGAATAGGTGATGAACCAGCCATTGGTTTAGCAAACACTTTAAGCAATTTGGGCCTCAGAATGGGTAGATTGAAAACAGGAACCCCACCAAGGCTAAAAGCATCAACAATCAATTTTAACGTTTGTGAAAAACAACTAGGCGATGATCCACCAGTTCCTTTTTCATTTATGAATGATAAAGTTTGGATTGACGTAATTTTATTCTAATTACAAAAATTAAAATGATAATTCAATATTATTTTTTAGTCCAAAGATCAATTGCCATGTTATTTAACACATACAACCCCTGATCTTGAACCAATTGTAAGAAACAACCTTCATGTGAACAATCATGTTAGAGAAGAAGTAACAGGCCCAAGATATTGTCCTAGTATTGAATCAAAAGTGTTGAAATTTGGCGGTAGAAGACATCAAGTTTGGCTTGAACCTGAAGGTCTTAATAGTGAAGTTATTTACCCAAACGGAATATCTTGTACTTTACCGGCCGAATTGCAACTCCAACTTGTTCGTACGATTGTTGGTTTGGAACAAGTTGAAATTCTTAGATGTGGATATGGCGTTGAGTATGAATTTGTTGATCCACGAGAACTTTGGACTAGTTTAGAATTGAGGAAAGTTAATGGGTTGTTTTTGGCAGGACAAATTAATGGTACAACAGGGTATGAAGAAGCAGCTGCTCAAGGCATTTATGCTGGAATTAATGCAGCAGCTAAAGTAAGTCAAAGAAAAAAATTTGTTGAAATATACACTGACCGGTAAAAAAACCGGCCACTAAAATTTAAATTAAATTCGATTTTAATGATTCCTTTTTTGATCGAAAGGTTGATTCTTCTGTATAATAATCCTTCGAGAGAAATTTTTATTTGGATATTAATTTGAGCATATATGGGGTGCAAGAATGAGAAAAACTATTTTTCTCGACATTTGTAATACTCTGTGGGATGCAGATGCTACAGCAGAGGGTGTTAATTGGAATCAAACGGTAGCCCAATCTTTTCTGAACATTTTGTTTTTTTATTCATTCTATTATCTCTGTTACTAACGAAGATGCAATGTTTTAAAGCGAACGCCTGTGAAAACAAGACAAATAAGCATAAGAAATCTAAGGTGGCGCGCTAGATAGGGTATGTCAGTTGTTTCGAATAGTAAATTTACAGTTGTTAGAGCTGCCATTGCTAGTAAGTGATGTTGCGCGTATTGTTACTTTAATTGAGGATGGCAAAAGTCAGGGGTATCTTGCCCATACGTTGAGTATACCCCAAACAACAGTTCAGGATGCCTGGAACCGATATGTGGAAACAGGAAATTTTACTAGGCGGCAAGGTTCCGGTAGAAGAACAGTGACAACAGCAGTTGATGACCGATTTATTGTTCTAAACTCTCTGAGGAATCGTAGAACGACAGCTGTAGAAACTCCGCATCGTCTTTAAATGGTGCGTGGGGTTGACGTAAGTGAAAGAACCATTCGTCGAAGACTTGCTGAAAGTGATCTGACTGCAAGAAGACCTGCCACAAGACAGTAGCTGCTCCAGAGACCAGAGTCTTCAATTTGGACTCGTCCATGGTGGGCAAATTTGGGTGTTATTATAGGCAATCTCAGAAACTGTAAGAGATACAAAAAAAGTAAGTGCCATGTCCCGGTCTCTTTTCCCGAGACTAATCCAATCCCGTAAAGACCAAATCTCTATCTTCTTTTGTTTTTAAGTTATAGCCAAAAAGTCAAATTTTAGTGATTTCAAAAAATGCTCATATTTCGTTTATTTTTGAAATTAGAGAAATGGGGTTAATACATTCTTAAGATACTTTTTTGAGTAAAATATACTGCCGTTGAAAAATTTTTAACATAGCTGATAATTTTTGAGATATAACATAAAGTTGTATTTTTTTAAATACACACTATACTTTATTATGATGTTACTGAAAAGAGCATATTTTTAGCGTTCCAATGATGTATCGCACGCATGATGTTTCTGCGGAAAATAAGCGTTATTTTTCAATTTTTAAAATATTAAAGATTAAAATTCAAATTTTTAATTATAGTAGGTGAGGAAAACGCTAAATACAGTCAGTTCCAAAAAAAGTTACGCACTTGATTTTTGACCTAATTTCAATATCTTATATTTTTTAAACCAGTGGGCCGATTTTTATTATTTTTTTATTTCTTGGTAGCCAATTCCTTTGTCTTTCAAAAAAAAATTAAAAAGGCGGAGATTTTTTCAATGACTCCTGGATGGTAGCGGAAAAACTGGAACCATGTTTTTTTTTTCTAATTTCTGACTTACCCTGTGTATTAATCAAGTAATGGTATAGAAAGTGCTTACACCCTATATGAAAGACGTTTCTTTTATGAGCATTTTGTTTTTTATTCATTAATTCATCTCTAAAGTTGTCCGAATTGAAGCTTTTTTGTTGAAACCTTGCATATTACCAACTTTCTGAATTTATGGAAAAACAGTTTTCTAGTGAAATAAACTGATACGAATTTTTAAAAAAGTTTTATTAAATACTAAATTATAAACTGGGATAACTGCTTAATACCGTGTACCATTACTTGATTAATACACAGGGTGAGTCAAAAATTAGGAAAACAACATGGTTCCAGTTTTTCCACTACCATCCAGGAGTCATTGAAAAAATTTCCACCTTTTTAATTTTTTTTTAAGACAAAGGAATTGGCTACCAAAAAATAAAAAAATAATAAAAATCGGCCCACTGGTTTAAAAAATATAAGATATTAAAATTAGGTCAAAAATCAAGTGCGTCACTTTTTTTGGAACTGAGTGTACTACTTAGTTACTACAGCAACGTGAGTTTACTTGTCATTTCATTCATAAATTTTGCGAAACGAGTTTCCCGTTTAAGAAGTTCCGCATTATCTTTAAATAAAACGATAAAATTAAATATAGAATATATTGGAGTCCGCTTTGAAGATGATACATAAGTCTTCGTATCCCCATTCAAACGGTGTTTCAATGGAAAGTCCGCTCCCAGTTTATGATCCCTAATTTTTCTCTATCTCACCCAATTTCAAAAGAAAAGATTGCTGATATCAAAAAACTTCTACATCTTATGTTTAGGGAAAACTGGGAAAATGTTCTAATCTTACAACCAGTAAGTTGAATAGAAGAAGATGACAGTATATATGACTGTTTAGTTCCTGAAGTTGTCCATATTTAATTATTCATTAATTAATACATTTCTTGTATTTTTAATAAACAAACTTTACTTGCTAATCATTTTTTATTGATGAACAAAGTCAGGGATAAGATGCTGAGAAATTAGGTAGTATTTACTGTCCGGACCCGCCTACTATAATCAAAATTTTGAACATTAGCGCTTACTATTTTCGAATTGAAAATTAACGCTTATTTTCTGCAAATACACCATACTTGCGATACATCATTGGAAAGCTAAAAATATGCTCTTTTCTTTAACATCATAATCAAGTATAGTAGTTTGTAGTTAAAAAAACACAACTTTGTGTTGTATCTCAAAAATCATCAAGTATATTTAAAACTTTTCAACGGCAGTATATTCCACTTAAAAAAGTGTCTTAAGAACGTATCAACCCCATTCCTATAATTTGAAAAATAAACGAAATATGAGCATTTTTTTGAAATCACGAAAATTTGACTTTTTCGCTATAACTTAAAAACAAAAGAAGATAGAAGTTTGATGTTTGCGGGATTGAATTAGTCTCGAAAAAGAGACGGGGACATGGCACCTACTTTTTTCGTATCTGAGATAGCCTATAATAACTGTTGAGTTGCGGTAATGTTTTTATTAAAACAACGAGCCGTTGATAGAAAATATATTGAAAAAATACTACTGAACTACAAACTATTACGAACTATTTTTTTAACAGAACAAAGAACAAGCGTAAAGCGTTCCCTTCGTGCTACCAACATAAAGAAATATTTAAATCTGTAGCTTTCGGACGAACAAGTAGCGACATCTATAGGATAACGTATTGTAATAATACTTAACAAATATTCAACAATAACACCCAAATTTGCCCACCCTGTACATATGAATTGGGAAATGGAACAATGGGGTAAGGTGCTCTTTACTGACGAGTCCCGATTTTGTCTCCAGTCACCTGATGGTCGAGAATGAGTGTGGAGACGTCGTAATGAAAGGTTTGCTACCTGCACAATTTCGGAAAGAGTACCTTCCCATGGAGGTTCGGTCATGGTATGGGCGGGTATTTCGACGGAAGCGCATACAGCGCTCATCTTTGTTGAAAATGGCACGCTAAATGCCCACCGTAATATACAAGATATTCTGCAAGAAGCTGTCTTGCCTATTCCCATTTTATTGGTGACGGATTTAAGCTAATGCATAATAATGCGCGACCGCTCGTAGCATGTGTGGTTAGCGAATATCTTGATGAGGTGGGTATTGAACGGATGGAGTGAAGATTAACATATAGCCTTCTTTGGAAATTCTCGGCCACACCATCACAGAACCACCTACGAAACGTTCGCGTTTCATAATTGTAAAGTTCACAAATCTTTTATTTCAACTTCTTCATATTCGCTCCCGACCATCTGGTGATAGTAGACAAAACCACTACTCAATCGTAAAAAGGACTTTCCTCCATTGCGATCTCAATATTCACATGTAAGCGCGCAGATTGAAGACGCGTTCGTCCATATCTTAGCAGCCTCGGTCCTTTGGCAGCCTTCTTGCAGCCAGAGCACTTCTAGCAAGTTTTCAGCGAATGGTTCTCTCACTGACATCATCAACATGCACCATTTGAAGATGACGCCGAGCTTCTACAGCTGTCGTTCTACGATTGCTTAGAACAATAAAACTGTCGTCAATGACTATAGTCACTCATCTTGTTTTCACATGCGACCGCTTTAAAATACTGCATCTTCTTTAGTAATAGAGATAATAGAGTGAATAAAAAAAGAAAATGCTCAGAAAAGATTGGGGTACTGTTTGATTCCAGGTAATACCCTCTGCTGTAGCAGCTACACCCCACAGGGTGTTACAAATTTCGAGAAAAACGTTTTTCTCATTTTTCTCACCTCGTATATGCTCAAATTAAAATCTGAATGAAAATTTCTATCGCAGGATTATTACAGAAGAATCAACCTTTTCATCAAAAAAAAAAAATCATCAAAATCAATTGCGCGGTTCGCGAGAAAGTCAGCTTTGAAGTTGTTGCTAATTTATAGTGGCCGGTTTTTTTGCCGGTCAGTTTGCTATATTTAATTTTTTTTTATTCTTTGCTTATGATAGGTTTTGGGTAAACCACCTTTAGTAATTGACAGAAGTGATGGTTACATCGGTGTTTTAATCGATGATTTAACAACACAAGGAACTTTAGAACCATACAGAATGTATACTTGTCGGGCAGAATTTCGGTTAATGTTAAGGCCAGATAACGCTGATATAAGATTAACTGAAAAGGGTTATAAATTAGGGTGTGTTTCTGAGAATAGATATCAAAGAACCATGGAAATTGAAGAAAAACTTATTGAAGGAACCGAATTGTTAAAAAGTTTTAGTAAAACTGCTAGTAAATGGAAGGAATTGTTAAAATTAACACCTACAAGAAATAATTTACAAAAAACGTATGTTAAACAAGTTGATGATAACATTAATTTTTTATTAATCGAAACAATTTGTTCATCAGAGTAATAATAGTTCAATCAAGCTTATCAGGTCAAAATTTTGTTATTGTTATGGTACTTACAAGATTGTAGCTTACTCATTTGATATTTAAAATGCTTTATCAGCTGTTGATTATTATGTCTTGCCCGGATATCATATTTACTTTACTATCCTAATCTTAGGCCCATTTCACTTGTGTTTGGTGCACTGATTATCTGGCGTTCACTTTATAATTGACATTGACGCCAAGGTCGAATATATTAAGGAAAACGTTTTGGTTATTTGACACAAAGGGACACTTGCCTGCGCCTTGGCTGAGTGATGAGATAAAGTATCTTTTGTAGTAGCATCACCCTTCTAAACTATACAGGTGTGCATAAATTGGCAGAAAAGCTATACGTGGCGATAGGTATTCTTCGTTTGATTCTGAAGCGAAAATCTTAATGCAAAAATGATGTACCATGCTTACATATTCACAAGGTTCTCAAAGATCGGACAATTAGTCCACATTAATGATTAATATTGAAAATCTGTTGATGGAAACGGCTGCAATTTAGAATAAAAATAACTTTAGTATGATTTTTTTTGATCAATCAAAATTGATCTAGGGTTGAAATCGGACTGTACGTACCGTAATCCCCGTAGCACTAATTGGGATCTGTTTAAGAGTTGCCTTGCAGATAACCTAACTAGTGTTATCGCAACCGTTAGGAACTGTGATCAGGTTGAAATAGCCACGGAGCAGATCTCTGTGGCAATTCGCTCTGCATATCACAGTAGCAGTCCACTGAAGGTGAAAAGTAGTAATCGGGGCACACCCTGGTGGAACGAATCTCTTAGCTCCGAAAGACAAGAGGTCCGAAAGCTTTTCAACCGGGCCAAGACATTAGGTGAATGGGAGAAATATAAACAGGCTCTAACGAATTACACCAAAAACATACGTAAGGCAAAAAGAGAGTCTTGGAGGAGGTTCTGTGAGGGAGTGAAAGACACACCCAGCAGTGCAAGAATTCACAAGATTCTCGCTAGAGATCCGGCACTACCCCTGGGCTCACTTAGGCGGCCTGACGGTAGTTTTACGGACTCTAGCAGAGCCTCGTTGGAGCTTCTCATGCAGACTCACTTCCCAGGAAGCCTGATGATGAGGGCCGATAATGCCACAGCGGGCTATTCCTGCAAGGCAAAGCGCCCCTCAAATACGGATTGGAGTGTGGCTAGAAAAGTCGTCACTTACACATCCGTGGACCAGGCAATTCAAACGTTTAAGCCGTTCAAATCGCCTGGAGAAGACAATATCTTTCCTGCTTTGTTACAGCAGGGGAGGTCTTTGTTGTTGCCAATTTTGGTAAAAATTTTCAGAGCGAGTGTCGCCTGGAAATATGTGCCGGCAGAATGGACTAAGGTACGGGTATCTTACATACCCAAAGCGGGCCGTTCGGTCCCTACTTCTAATGCCTTTCGACCCATCAGCCTAACGTCATTTCTGCTGAAAACCCTTGAAAAAGTTCTGGAACGGTATATCCGTACGGTGCCATTGGTATCTGGTCCACTGAGTCGCCACCAGTATGCTTATCAAGCGGGAAAATCAGCAGAATTGGCTCTACACAACTTAGTTGGTAGAGTATCCAGGACGCTGCAGGATAAAGAAATCTTGGTTTGTGCGTTTCTGGATATAGAGGGAGCGTTCAACAACGCAATACCACAATCTCTTGAAAGAGCTGCTCTTGACAGGGGAGTGGAAGCAACTATAGCGGGTTGGATCCGCAATATGCTAGATAGTAGAATAGTTTCTACTTCACTCCACGGTGATACGATACGCTTCAGGCCGGGAGGTGGCTGCCCGCAGGGAGGGGTGTTATCTCCCCTGCTTTGGTCCCTCCTAGTTGACGATCTGATTGCGATAGTCGAAGCCGTTGGTGTGGAAATACAAGCTTATGCTGATGACATTGTCGTTATGGTCAAAGGAACCTGTTTGCCGAGGATATCTAAAGTCCTCCAGGTGACCCTAGATACCATTTGCGCTTGGTGTAAGGGAGAGAACCTCTCAATAAACCCGCAAAAGACAATTGTTGTGCCCTTCACCAGGAAGCGAAAGTTGGATGGACTAATCCGCCCAACTATCCAAGGTGAAGAAATTCCTTTCTCAAAGGAAGTCAAATATCTAGGAGTAATCCTAGACAAAACCCTGTCATGGAATGGACATTTGCAGGGAGTTTTGCACAAAGCTAGACTATCCTTGTGGACTTGTCGCAGTCTTTGTGGAAAAAATTGGGGTCTTACCCCTGAAAGACTGTACTGGCTCTATGTGACTGTGGTTAGACCTATGATCACATACGGAGCAGCAGCCTGGTATAGGAAAGTCCGACAGACTTCAGTTATCAGTAAACTTTCACGAATTCAACGAGTAGCTGGATTGGCAATCTCTGGTGCGATAGGCACAACGCCAACTCTAGCAATGGAGGTTCTGCTTGGCCTATCTCCTCTGCATTTGCATATAGAGAAAGTGGCTAGAACAACCATTTACAGATTTAAGCAATATGCTCAAAACTGTTCCGACATGTCCTACCAATGGGCTGCGGAAGACATTATAAGCACTGATACTGTGCTATCAATGCCGTCAGATTTGGCGGTATCACTATCAGTGATTAATGCTCGATACCAGATTGTACTGCCTGAGCGGCAGTCCTGGATCGAAAATGAAAATTCTCTGGTTCGGGCAGACATTTGCTTGTACACAGATGGATCAAAAACGCCTGAAGGGGTAGGAGCAGGAGTATACTGCCAGACACCTCGAATTAAGCAAGCCTACAGCCTGGGTACGTACTGTACTGTATTCCAGGCGGAAGTATTTGCTATTGACATGGGTGCTAAAATCCTTCTTGAAAGAGGGGTGAAGAACATGACAGTACGAATTTTCTCAGACAGTCAAGCCGCTCTCCAGGCGCTGCAAGCCGTGAAAACGGTGTCGGCTCTGGTTAATGATTGTAAGAGAACATTAAACACACTGAGTTGTGATAACAGAGTCTCTCTGATCTGGGTCCCGGGTCACTCTGGGGTTGCTGGCAATGAAGCGGCAGATAAGCTAGCACGAGATGGCAGCGCTGAAGCGTTTGTGGGACCGGAACCAGCAGTTGGTGTATCATTTGCGATGGCCAAATATAGGATTGGACTGTGGGCTGAAGAGAGACTTCGCCTACTGTGGACCAGTTCTCCTGGAATGAGACATGCTAAGGTGTTTATTAACATCGCCACTGTCAAACCCGGGAATATTTTAGGACTTGCCCGTAGTAGCATAAAAGTTCTAATGGGTGTTTTTACTGGGCACTGCCGATTAAAAGCACACCTCAACTTGTTGGGTTTAGCCGACGATGTTGAATGCCGACTATGTGCGGAGGAAGCAGAGACGGTTGAGCATGTTTTATGCCACTGCCCTGCCGTTAACCGTATCAGATTCTCGATTTTTGGGTCGCAGTTTATCTCCTCAAAAGATCTGAATGACCTTTCGCCGAGCAAGGTATTAATGTTCGTTAAGAGCATGGACTGCACGGTGAAATTTGATAACGATATCTATCGGGGTACAATAGATCCTTAGGGTCGCGGTGAAAGGTTGGTTGGTCCGCCTACCCGATATGTATTCTATGTAATGTAATGTAATGATTTTTTTTCACATTATTTTATTTAGGTTTTAAAGTATTTAATTTTTCTTAATTAACGACATTCACGGAAAACAGTTGGCAACATAGTAGAATTTCGTTTTGTCATTCAGAGTAATAGAAGTAATTTAAAATTAAATAAATAATTCACAATGAATTATTATGTTAATAAAATTTGAATTTAAAAATATTATGTTGCAATTTTTTGTGTTGTTTATCAATAAGTATTACTTTGGCAAAATAGTCGTTTAATTTTGATTAGTGTTTTACGACGAAATGACGCAAAAATGTATTTGTACATTGAATTTCAGAAAATATTACTGAACGTGATAGTACCTACATAAAAACAATGATTCCACATATTTACGTTTGTTTTAAGTGCTTTCTGAAAGCATACGAAGCGCGATACAACATTTTCGCATTAAGATTTCACTTCAGAATGAAAAGAAGAATGCACCATGTACAGGATGGCCCGTTACTAGTGGCATACAGAGCAACAGTAAATTCCTTACATTAAATTATTACGATTTAACCCGATTTATGTTAGTCCAATTGTTAATAATAACGAAGATACACCATCTGTATCTTCGTAAAGTTAATATTTTATTTTCGTTTTTCTTTAATAATTTCGTTTTCTCTTACATTATGAACATGAAAATTGGTACATTATCATTTTTTAAGACGATAAATAATATGGTATTAGTTTTGATCTATCTTTCAGATAGCGCTGCTTACCCTAAAAACTCCCTTAAAGTAACCATATCTTTTTCATCGTTAATCTGCATTTTGCTTTTAAATCCTAAATTAATGAAATTCGGCATATCGCTATAATTTAACATAACAAACTTTTTATCTTATTCAACTTTTGTTGTACAGGGTGTCCCAATTTCGATGTCCACATAGGCCATCTCCGAAACTAAAAGAGATAGAAAAAAAGTAGCTTACATGTCATGATCTCGTTTTTCGAGAAAATGCTAATGCCGAAAACTCCGAACAGCTATCGGCTTTTGTTTTCGCCCTATCGGCAAAAACTGAAAATTTTGCAAAAACGACAATCGCGAATATCTCACTTATTATCAAAGATGGAGTATTATAAATAAAACATTATATGGGCAACTTTTTACGAAGAATTCAGTGGCGTAGGTAGAATTTTTTTCCCATCTTTTATTTTCGAGATTTTAGACGTAACTTTATTTTTTTAAATGGAAACCATAGTTGGCTATGACCTAAAATAATTTGTTATTTTCTTCTGATAACAAATATATATAGTTTGTGGGGTATATTTCTTATAGTTATTGAATAATTAACAAAAATTCATTTTATTCTATCTAAAACTATTGTATGTATTTAAAAGTTAATGTTGTTATGGTGATAACCATACCATGATGGAAAACATTGTTTCCAATTATTGCCAAAGTTTGTAGTAGTATTTAAAAATTCACTAACAACTCTGGCATTATGTGCTGGTGCTCCATCATATTGAAAATATATCATTTGAGACATATTTAATGGCAAATTGTCGACCAAAGGCTCAATGTGCTGTCTTAATATATTCAGGTATCTACCTGAGTTTAAGTTTTTATGGTAGATACTATATGTCAAAATTCTATTATCTAAAAGGGCACACCATACATTGAACCCCAATCTTCTTTGAACGCTCAGGGACTTCATCGGTCCAGATGACATTTTGAACAAACAGCAGACTATTTAATTTTTCTAAATATCATCTACAAAATTCTAATCTCAGATTGACATCTCCGGCACGTAAATAATGAGTTAGCCCCGCTTTGTATGGTTTATACTTATTTTTCTTTCATATTCGGGAGCAGCGGCTTTTCGGTCAGACGCCTTGTTCAATTTCTCTGCAAGATGTTGATGGATTTATCGCAAGTGAAGCCAATACATTGACTTCATCCTCTTGCAGGTTATTTTGGTATGTTTTTGCACGTGGTTTGGGCAAGGACCAAAAATCTATTAAATTTTCTGTTAACCGGCTGAAGGTTCTTACGTGCGGTTGTCTTCTTTCCGGATACCTTGTGAAATATAATTCCGCGGCTAACGTCGCATTCTTATCTGATAACATATAGCATTCCATCATGTTACATTTTTCATAATTTTCGAAATTCATTGTAAAGTTTTATTCAGTTTTGTTATACTTTGACACTTAACATGCTGGTGCTTCGTACCAGCACATAATTCCAGAGTTGTTATCGAATTTTTAAATACAAAGTTTGGCAATATTTTATACATTATCTGCCATCATAGTATGTATGGTTATCACCATAGCAACATTAACTTTTAAATACATACATTAGTTTTAGATAGAACAAAATGAATTTTTGTTAATTATTCAATAACTATAAAAAATATACCCCACAAACTATATATATTTATTATCAGAATAAAATAACAAATTATTTTAGGTCATAGCCAACTATGGTTTCCATTTAAAAAAATAAAGTTACGTCTAAAATCTCGAAAATAAAAGATGGGATTCAAATTCTATCTACGCCACTGAATTCTTCGTAAAAAGTTGCCCATATAATGTTTTATTTATAATACTCCATCTTTGACAATAAGTGAGATATTCGCGATCGTCGTTTTAGCAAAATTTTCAGTTTTTGCCGATAGGGCGAAAACAAAAGACGATAGCTGTTCGGAGTTTTCGGCATTAGGATTTTCTTGAAAAACGAGATCATGACATGTAAGCTACTTTCTATCTATCTCTTTTAGTTTCGGAGATAGCCTATGCGGACATCGAAATTGGGACACCCTCCTGTACATTGCTCAGAAAGACCACTTTACCTGCTACGGTTAACAAACTTCTTGCGTTAACTTTGGTACTTTGAGGATATTTGACGTAAAACTTGGTTACATTTCGTTTTATGACATTCAGACTTTAATTGCAAAAGATGGAATTTGAATTCAAAAATTGATCGTCAATTATACCTTACGGGGACACAATCCGGGGACACACGTATATTATGTTATGTAGAAAGGTTCAATGATTACAGGAAATGCATTTTTTTGTATCGAGCAATTGCTAACATATCGATCTCTAAAGTGAGGGCGTTGAATTTTGGCGCCCATATTGTGTGTGTATGTATGTTGTGTGTGCGGAGATATTCTTCCTAGGGTGCGACGGTATCGCAGTTTTTTTCTGATAGCTCAGATAATCCAAGACTGAGCTCCAAATACATATTTATCGTTGGAGAGACGTAGGTTACGTAGTTGTAGGTGATTTTTTTGATAATGAAGAACGGTGAAGAACATCGGCGTATTGTTGTAATCTTTTTGTGTGTCGGTTTTTTTTTCAGGATGATGACTCATCTAGTTTCTACTTTCATGCGAACACTTCTTCTTCTTATTGAAAGGCTTATGACTTGTTTTGGCGCTTCGTCATTTCTGGTTCTGCTCCTCCTGAGATACTGAGGCCCAGCTGTCCTTCTATAGCTTTGAAGGTCTTCCTAATGGTTTTTTTGTATATGTTTTGCATGCCTTGTACATTTTATCCGAAATATTTGGTGAAATGATTGTACTTTTCAAGAATATGTGGATGAAACTCTTAGACTTTGATTTTGAGAAATCGAAATCAAAGTCTAAGGTGTGAGAGGGTGTCATTCAACAGGTTCCTGAGTTATCGTTTTATTTCGGTTGTATTCCCACCTCTTGGTTGCCCGTCTCCAGAAAGCTTTGATACAGGTTATTGCTTTTTTCACATCATTCTGGGACAATATTCTCTTCGATATCCTCTGGGGATGCACTTCTTGGCGGTATTTATTACTGCTCCAAGAAAATTATGGTGTTTTTGCTGTTTGGTCGTATCCAACCCAGGCAAGGTCTCTAGAGAATTTGAAGATGTGGTTCACACTCTTAGAGTGTGGTTTCGAGGTCATCGAATGATATCTTGAGATCCCGATACGGCAATCTTCAATTTCTCATTATCGGTTTCTCATGTGAGTTTCTTTAAAATATGTTTCGAAGTTTTTGATACTGGACGTAGTGTATTGGACGATCGATGGTTGATTATTACCTTGCAATTGGAACGGTCTACATTACTTTTGGAAACTTGGTGAGTTCTTCATTTTCCTTTGAAGAGTTATCGGTATCTTCTTCTCTGAAGTTGTAGGGGTTATTGTTATAAACTCTGATGCTTTGTCTTTGATAGACATAATACTCGACCTTCTACAGCAGATTTTGATTCAGCTTGTTCGAGACCTCGCTTAAATAATTTCGTTACCCGTAAAAAAAAATAGGAAAAAGAAAAACTACAAAACTGCATTCGAAATGTATTGGAGCTGAGGATTTCAGTACGTTGCGTTGTTCCAGAATCATTTACAGATATTATCTTCTCAGAATCGTAAGTCTTATATTTTCTATTCCATATCAGATTTTTCGATGGCAAGCTCTGACGTAAATGTTTTGTATTTCTGAACATTATGATCGCATGATTTGCTAACTCGATCTTGGTCTAACAATTTACTTAATTTTTCATTTCACACGATCAAATCGTTTACTGTGCAATCGATTAAGTTATGGACGATATTGCCTATTATTATTTGTGGTGCACCAAATATTATTACATTTAAAAACCGTTTATTAGCCTTGTTTTTTACATAACTTTTCTTTTTTTGATTGCACTCTGGTTTTTTCTTTAAAATCATACCAGAAAAAATAGTTTCACAATTGATTTGCCAAATCGTGTGCAGATTTCTCTAAATACCATAACATATCTTTGTAACTTCCATTTTAGTCAAAAATAGTTGTTTCAAAAACCTGACCTGATCGCGAGAAAATGATGCAACTTTTGATATTCAATCACATCTTGTCATTATTTTACACCTAATTATTTTTATTTATAGGGCTTTTGAAATGTTATCAACGAACGATAACATTACCGTCGATGACTTAGCTCAAGTTATACCTGAATTAAAACCTTTAACTTTTGATATAGCAGTAAAAAATAGATTAAAAATTGAAGCACTTTACGAATCTGCTATTGCAATGCAAATAAACGAAGTGGCCGAATTGAAACGAGATGAAGCTTATCTAATACCAAGAGACATCAATTATAATTCAGAATCTCTTAATTTAAGTTTTGAAGAGAGAGAGAAATTAATAACTTTTCAACCACAAACGGTAATTATTAATTAATACTTTTGTTGTTCTTTATTTTCCTTTGTTATTGTATTTTATAGATTGCAGCTGCAAGTCGAATACCTGGAGTAACTCCAGCTTCAATAGTAAAATTGTTACGGTTTGCAAAACACCGAGATTGTGATTATCTTGCAAATGTTTAAAACTGATTTTAGTAAATATAATTGATATTAGTGAATTAAGTATAGTTTATAACACATTTTTTGCCAAAAGTTGACTTTATTAAATACTGGTACAACATACATAGTATAATAATAACGAACCACAACATAACTTCTATTTACAACATACAAAGGAGGGTTTTAGGAGAGGGGAGGGAAATTAACGATTCTAATGTACATAATACTGGTTATAGTATTATTATAAATGTTTCACGTTACTTAATACGAGCTATAAATTTGCAATAAATTAATTTTTTCTTTCATTTACATCGTAAATATACAAAAATATCCAAATATACAGAACCCAAAAAAATAGGTTTGCAATTTCATAGCTGCTATCTGTAAAAACACATTTACATAATTAAACATTGAATTCTAAAAACTAACATCAAATTTGTTGTTACATCGAAAACGTTTGGCGTGGTAACACTATAAAGAAAATAAAAAAATAAACAAAAATTAATTCAAGAGAAATAACGAAAAAAGGAACTTATCTACGCAGTATTATGTTTATAAATAAGAAAAATGCGCATCAGTCTTAATTTAGTGATAAAAACTAATAACAACGAAACTGTGTCGATGATAATAAATGCAATTATAGGCTTAAAGCAAACACATTATTTCTTTTTTTTCTATTTGGTGTGCGTCACAACATGTACATTATCTAACATATACTTATATATGTTTATTTGTCAGCAATTATATAAATCTCTTTTCTTAATATATATGCTGACTAGCTGCTTAGAAATTCATCTTTCATTTCTAAATAATTACTATCAAAAATAGATCTTCTTTTATCAAAATAAATCAAAAGAATAGAAAATTATTGTCACAATTCCATCATAATTTTTTTGTTATAAATTCTTCATTTTCGCCAATTTAATTAAAAAAGACGGCAAGATAAATTTTCCTTTCTCTTTTCCTTCGTCTTTAACAGCTTGTTTCCAAGGCTATGGATTTCGTGGTATTCGACACGCTATGATTGCACATAGTATCCCCCATTGAAGGTTGACCTTGCGATGTAGAAGAATGATGATTGGTGGTTCCTGCGGTCTCAACAGCGCTGCCTCGACGCCAACACCAGTAGCGTTTAACAGCAGCCAATACCTATAAAAAAGAAGAACAATAAGAAAAATAAAATAATATGGAAATTTCTTTGAGTGTTTTAATGAATTAATTATTACCTGTGGTTGACAACCGACGACGATAAAGATAAAAACTCCCTGTAAGCAGTTGAAGATATCCGTAGAGTACCAATATTCATGAGGACCTCCAACAGCCCAAGAAATGATGTCTGCTATCCAAAAGACTCCCATTACAATGACGAGTTTTAGACATACGCGGCCAAGTGCAGCTCTAAAAAATTAAAAAGAAAATGTTTAAAAAAAGTTTTAAATGAAGATGGATGTTAAAGATTGTGTATAAAAACGTATGAATGTATATTCGCAAATCTCGATTAACTCTAATAACGATTTGATGGAAACGTCGCATCGCGTCTCGCCGTATGTGGTTAAACCGGGTCCATTAGTGACGGGTAATTGGATCCAGGGTAATGGCAAAAAGGAAGGAAAGATAATCGGAATAATTAATAAAACGGATGCGTCCGAGTGCTTCTATCCGTTCCCGCTCATTTTAATTCAAAAGTTTTAAGGTAAAATGGAGGATATAAAAAAAAGTGGATGAAACCTAAAAAAACAGTTTTCTACCTTCGCTTATTAGCGGGATTTTGTTCCCGGTAATCACACGACCCCCAATTTGAAGTGGAAATGACCGACTAACCACGACCTGAGTTCAAATTACACGGTACTTTTCTTCCAGCTAGATTGAAGTTTCGAAAGTAGTGCTTTTGGTTCGTCTTCAAAGGGAAATAAACGCAAAAACCCAATTAGGAATACAATTACCAGTTCTGGTTGGGTTCGTGTGGTTCACTACCTCTCCAATATCTCCCAACATTTTTTAATTATATACTTTCGTCCTTATTTATAGTCGTTATCTTTGGGGTTTGAAGATAATAAGTTTAAACGTGTAACCTTTTCTTTGTTCTAGAACCAAGAAAATTCAAATCGCTATAAAATCAGAATTTTCTTTTTGGACTTTCTTTGTTTCTGTATCCGCTAAGAGTTAAATTAATCTTTTCGACCTCATCAGGTAACCGCATCTTTTCGATTATCCACGGTCGAGTAACTTAGAAGGTTCACACGGTAACATTTTTTTATACTTTTTTTTGAACACCTTTCAAACGATTAATAACTGTTAAAAAAATTTAAATGTATACAATTCAACTGAATAGTATAAATGCTACAAAAGAGATTTTTTCTTAATAGTTATTTAATGGTTAAGTACCGAGATCTGAATATAAAAAATGAGGAGCTAAAAAAAGGATTGTAAAAGTGAAACGAGTGTGGGACACGTCGGTGTTCTTCTTGAAAGCATTAAGGTTCTGAATGCGGCCCTATAAATTCCTTTGCTGGATCGTTAGTGGAGCGGAGCGCACCAGTAATTAATCTGCATTGCCTTTTCAAGCAAGAAACCAAGAACCAACGACCCGTACGTGGTTTTGCGGAAACTAAAAGCATCAAAACGATCGGGAATTTTGCCTCAAAAAAGTGTTAAACACTACAACAAGTAGAAATAATTCGAATTACTCTTACCTTTCCGTAGTTGACTTCACAAGTTCTCTTTTCCAAAGGCCACAAGTTAGTTCTCTTGCTGTAGCGATGAACAAAGCTAAATTGACCGCCAGAAGAATACCGACCGGGATAAAAAAGTATAACATAATTTCCATATTTCCTGCAAAATAAAATAAGTTTTATTAATTAAGAGGGAACATATGGTAAAAGATGTTAAAAGTTGTCATAAAAGTGGTATATGCAGGTAAAAAGTTACCTTGTGAAAGCAATTAAGAATGGCGGTTTTTGATAGCAATTAAAGTTAATTAATGTTCTTTGCAGAGATATGGACTCGAGGGGGTCGTAAATGAATTTTTTGATAGTGAAACTATCTCCGAAGGCAGGTGGCCATTACAGAGGTTCGACCTTCAGGAGCCGGATTCATTAACATTATCCAAAAGTGGAAAGACAGACTTAAAATTTGATGTCGCCGACAACTTTTTAACGAACTCGAATCGAAATAAATCTACCATAACTTCACTTCAACAAGTATTGATATAATTAAACAATAAAATGTGGTTGTAAAATCGACCAGAACCAATCAACTTGAAATGGCTTTTTCGATCCCTTTCGCAAACGCCAGATTTCCACCAGGTTATTGCACGGTATGATGCGACTGTCTGTGTTGCCATCACGTTTCATATAATAAACTTCTTCGTGGTGGCGCCAAATTAAAATTGTCAAAATATTTGTTGCGAAAATGGAGACAGAGAAGTGGTTTAAGACGCCTTGAAATTGCACGTTATTTTCCTTTATCTTGAACGTCTTGCTGCAAATTGCAACGGAAACTACACCGGAGCAACCGCAGTCGTTTATTATACACCGGGATGCATCGTTGCTTTTTTGGACATTAGCGGTCATTAAGGTGAAATTAGACATGCTTATGCGCTTTTTGCAATGGCCACGGAGATCAGTATTAAGTGAGAAGATTAATCACCTGATGTTACATGAATCATCTGAGAAGTGAAATTTAAATGACGACAGTTTAAGATTTGCATCATTTCGCAATTTTTTAAAACTACATCCTGCTTAATATAATACACATTTTAAAAAATTAATTATGTTAATCTTTATCATTATAAGTTAATTCTTTTTTACTCATACAACTAATAACATGAGTAACACGTGTCTTAAATTTAAATTTCTTTTTTTCTGGGTCACCATTTCACAACAAACGGATCTCTTCGCAAACAACGTATCCACAGCAGGTAAACCTCCTGTCGAAATGATTCATTCGGTCAGCCCATAAAACCGAGAGATGTGGGTAGACTTTGATACTTTGAAATTAAAAGGGTCGCTCGTGTATTTACCATCTTATCTCTCACCAATTCGACGTCGGAAAGCCGTACACATGGCGATTAAGAAGTCATCGACATCTATTTCGTTCTTATCGGATGTATCTTGACGAAAAGAAAAAAAAAGTCCAGCGAACGTGATTCCTCACGGCGATGCGTTCAAATTGAGGACGGTTTTAATTTTGAAATATATAGATAAGGTTGTTCTTTGTTTCAGTATCGTTGTTAAAACCCCGGGCGGCGCCAAGTGGTGTATTTCGCAATTGTCGTAATCGCGTCATCCTCATTTAAAAAGAGACTTTATGTGAACACATCCTGTGTCTTTCCTTTTGTTAGCTCGTTTGGCAATTTGGACATAAGTGATTTAATTAAAATTGAATTAGTTTAGATTACGTTAAGTCGAATGACTTAAGAAGGGCTACTTAAATGCATAAAGATACATAATTTTGTTTTATAAGTAATTATTTTATTTAAAATTTGAACTTCATAATTAAATTCATAAATAAAAAAATCATCCTACAATGTCGTTATTCGAGAAACTATTTGAATTTGCCAAAGAAGACGCCTACATATTTTCTGAATCATCTCGTGATTTAAGTGGATTCATCAGCAAACATATTCTGACGCATCATCACGTAATGCAAAAAAATGCTAACTGGTTAGTTTTTATTGCGATTTTTTAACATAGTTCTTTATGTATTTTCTTTAAAGGACATTAAACGATTTTTTAATTGCCTGCCTTACATTATTTCGAGAATGACAGAGACTCACTGGTACTAAATGACACCATCAAATTAAAGACTGGAATCTGAAGGATGCATTTCGCAATTACCTTCCAGTAAATAATTATTGCAAGTAATTATAGACGTAATAACGCAGTTTTTTCTCGCGAGTTATTTAAAAATATCTCCAATACCGAAGGCAATAAATATGCGGGAAAATGTTGTATCATGGTTACGGAAAATAGATTTCTTGGAAAATACATTTTACAAAATGTAGTTTATATAGTATTTAAGCGTGAACACAACGTAAACACAGCTTGATCTTGGTTTTTTCTAGTGAAGACCCTGAACACGGAACTACGCGATGTTATGCCATGGCCTTTTGTTTCATCGTTCTCGTCTAATTTTCGCTAGAGACATGAGAAAGGAACGATCTTGAACAATTCTAGGTTGCAATCTGCAAGAAATTGATTCAAAGAACTCTATCGGGATTGCTATCACCGTTATGTTCCCGCCTTTCTAAGATTGTTTGATGATCGTTCTCAAGTTGTACAAGATTGAAGAAAATTGAAACGGATGTAGAAAATAATATCTTAGGGATATGAAGAATTCCGAGTTATGAAGAAATTTGATGTAATCGGAGTTATTTGGGAACGATATTTATTAATGAAAATTGTGATTTATTTATTTTACCCAAACAAGTTGTTTCTATTTACCATTTCAACGAATTTTGGTAAAATTGCAGCCCAGTTGATTATTGATAATACAAAGAAAAGACAAATAATAAGAATTCTTAGTATGAATTTTATGAAAATCAAATATTTATAATAAATGAAAGAGGCTCCAGATTTAGTCTTTTTACATAATCTTCAACTTTTAATTACATCAGCGGAAGTTGTTACAGATCGTCTACTAATTATTTAAGAATTGTTTTTTGTTTTGTTAATTAGTTTTGAGAAATTCACAAAATTCATTTCCGCGTTAGGCATAGCGATGTATCCATACTTGATCCTTGTAGGGGAGATAGAAAAGGAGACCTAAGAGAAGGGCTGGGTGCAAAAACCAGGTGGCTCCACTTTTGGGGGAATTTGACTTTTTTTTTGATTTTGGTTTTCAAAACTGTGCTCTACAGATTAATGCAAGAACCAGGCAGTTTTACAGCTTAATACGACTACAGAACGTTGAAAGGAGCTACCTGTTATGCTGTTTCAATGAAAATCGTCGTTTCCTGTCACCTGAACTAAACATCACCACCCTGTATAGACCCTATTTGGAAAAATTTGAGCTAGAACAGCATCGCATAATGGCAGAAAAAGACTTCAAATCCTACGTTAGCTACGATTTTTATCGTAGAATTTTGGTAGAAAACTTTAATCCAAGCTTTGGACACCCAAGGTCTGACACATGTCAAAAATGTGACACCTACGAAAATACATTAAAAAGTTTAACGGATAAACAGGAGAAACAAAAGCTCATAACTGAAAAAATCTTCATCTTGTTAAAGCGGATAGTTTTTACCGAGATATGAAGGAAAAACAAAAACTGGCACTTTTTGATACTACCGTGGAAGTCATTAGTTTTGATTTTGAACAGAATGTACCACATGTCCCAACTGGAGATGTTTTATAAATGTCAACTGTGGGTATTTCCACTTTGCATTCATCAGACTGATGTACTTTCAAAAAATTCTTTTACATGTATGATGAAGTTATTGGGCCCCAATGAGATTATTAGTTGTTTGTATCATTTTATTAAGACTTGTATAAAGTCAGAGGTTAAGACGCTGACAACTGCGTTGCTCAAAATAAAAATAGCGTTTTAATCCATTTTTGGCAAACATTGACACTACAAAAACGATTTGTTAACATTAGACATCACTATCCTGAACCCGGATATAGTTTTTTGCCATGCGATCGCAGTTTTGCTCAGGTGGAAGAACAGAAAAGGAAGCAGCAAAGGGTGATATTGCCCGAAGAGTGGATGCAAATAGTAAATAAATCATCCAGGAGGTTTGAAGTACTTCATGTAACACAGGACATGATAATTGACTATAAAACTTAATAAACACCCCGTTTTGAGAAAACCATAACAAATGGACATAAGGAAAAGTTTACCATTTCAAAGTATCGAATAATACAGTTCGATTCAGCCAGTGCCAATACACTAAAATATTCTGAGACCCATAATGCTCTATTCGGCCAAGAATTCGTAACTTTGAAGACGAAGATCATCTCACTTTATCTTGAAGTTGACAGAAAAGCGTATAATGAACTTCTTCCATTGAAAGAAAGTAAAATAGCGAACCTATCGGACCTTGCTAAACAATATGTTCCGGTAAATGACAAGTGGTACTATGAAAGAATTTGTTCTTCAGCAACCCCTTCTGAAGAAAATGCAGTAAAATCTTCTACAGATGACGATGAAACGTAGATAGGTGACTAGCTTGGGTATTGTTTAACATCTGCAATAAATTTTGTCATTTTATAGCTTCTGTTCTGTAACAGTATTCTCGTGCAAAACTAAGTCAAAAATATCAACGACAACATTTTCTAACAATAACATAATCAAAATCCAAATTGGAATTATATTTTCCTTTTAAAACACTTTTTTGATGATTCCCAAAAGTTTACTAAAATGGAACTACCTCGTTTTAGCACCCAGCTCTTAAGTTGTTGTTGAAATATACTTTCTGGTGTCGTAATAGATGTTGGAAGTGTACAAAGTATTTGTAGAAGCTTCTACTCATGTGGGTGCAATTNCTGTTATGCTGTTTCAATGAAAATCGTCGTTTCCTGTCACCTGAACTAAACATCATCACCCTGTATAGACCCTATTTGGAAAAATTTGAGCTAGAGCAGCATCGCATAATGGCAGAAAAAGACTTCAAATCCTACGTTAGCTACGATTTTTATCGTAGAAGTTTGGTAGAAAACTTTAATCTAAGCTTTGGACACCCGAGGTCTGACACATGTCTAAAATGTGACGCCTACGAAAATACTTTAAAAAGTTTAACGGATGAACAGGAGAAACAAAAGCTCATAACTGAAAAAAATCTTCTTCTTGGTAAAACGGATAGTTTTTACCGAGATATGAAGGAAAAACAAAAACTGGCTCTTTCTGATCCTACAGTGGAGATCATTAGTTTGATTTTGAACAGAATGTACCGTTACCACATCTCCCAGCCGGAAATGTGTTTTATAAACGTCAACTGTGGGTATTTCCACTTTGCATTCATCAGATTGATGTACTTTCAAAAGTTTCTTTTACATGTATGATGAAGTTATTGGGCTCCAATGAGGTTATTAGTTGTTTGCATCATTTTATTAAGACTTCTATAAAGTCAGAGGTTAAGACGCTGACAACTGCGCTGCTCAAAATAAAAATAGCGTTTTAATCAATTTTTGGCAAACATTAACACTACAAAAACGATTTGTTAACATTAGACATCACTATCCTGAACCAGGATATAGTTTTTTGCCATGCGATCGCAGTTTTGCTCAGGTCGAAAAACAGAAAAGGAAGCAGCAAAGGGTGATATTGCCCGAAGAGTGGATGCAAATAGTAAAAAATTCATCCAGGAGGTTTGAAGTACTTCATGTAACGCAGAACATGATACTTGACTATAAAACTTAATAAACACCCCGTTTTAAGAAAACCATAACAAATGGACATAAGGAAAAGTTTACCATTTCAAAGTATCGAATAATACAATTCGATTCAGCCAGTGTCAATACACGAAAATATTCTGAGACCCATAATGCTCTATTCGGCCACATGATCTTGAAGTTGACAGAAAAGGGTATAATGAACTTCTTCCATGACATTCTAAATGACAAGAGGTACTATGAAAGAATTTGTTCTTCAGCAACCCCTTCTGAAGAAAATACAGTAAAATCTTCTACAGATGACAATGAAACGTAGATAGGTGAGTAGCTTGGATATTGTTTAATATCTGCAAATAATGTTGTCATTTTATAGCTCCTGTTATGTAAGAGTATTCTCGTACAAAACTAAGCAAAAATATCAACGACAACATTTTCTAACAATAACATAATCAAAATCCAAATTGGAATTATATTTTCCTTTTAGAATACATTCAGAATATATTTTAAAATACTTTTTTGATGATTCCCAAAAGTTTACTAAAATGGAGCTACCTCGATTTAGCACCCAGCTCTTAAGTTGTTAAACTAAAATTAGAACTAAAACTAGAACTAACACTAGAAACTTTCGGGTTTTGCCGTGCGTCTTTTAATAAAAGGTTTGACGTTTCGGATGCCATGTTGCAACCTTCTTCAGAAACTGGTTCGAAGTGACGAGATCAAAAATCGGTAACTATATATAAGTCGGAAAAATATATATAGTTACCGTTTTCGGCAAAACCCGAAAGTTTCCAGTGTTAGTTCTAGTTTTAGTTCTAATTTTAGTTTAATTCACACCAGCCGTGAAAGCCTTCGTACTTATCTTAAGTTGTTGTTGAAATATACTTTCTGGTGTCTTAATAGATGTTGGAAGTGTATAAAGTATTTGTAGAAGCTTCTGCACATTTGGGTACAACTTCTCATTACAAGCCTCCAAACAAGCTAACGTGTTATATTCGGCTAAGGTTGATACAATTGTTTAAATATTTGTCCCAGATTCTAAATTCAATTTGATTGTTGTTTTTTCTGCCAGAATTTTGACATAATTCCTCTAAGTATGCAACAGTATTTTCGTGGAAGCAATCTGAGCAAAAGCAGTCAATTTGCTACTCCAAATAAAATGTTAGCACTAATAAGATAAAAACATAACAATTGTTAAAAACGATATCTTCACAGAAATTGTGAAGCACGAATAAAGTGCAGAGAAAATATGAAATTTATCAACGTTATGATAATTTTCTATTCTATCCTTTCACCACACAATCATCTCCACCTCCTAAACCTCACTTGTCTTAAATCATCCATCCATCTCGGTCTCCACTTGCTCTTCGACTCACTGGTCTCCAATCTGCAACTATCTTTATTGTCCACTGATCGCTCATTCGTTCCACGTGTTTCCTGCATCCATCCGAGTCGTCTACTTTTAATGAACCTGACAATATCGGTACCATCTATTAATTGGTATAATTCGTGACTCATTCGCAACCTCCAGGAGTTTAAACTTCCTAAGAAGTTGTTCATCTGTGGTTGTTAAAGCTCAGGCTTCGTATTCATATGTTACCACTGATCTAATAAAGCTTTTCTATAAAGTTATCTTTATGTTTTTGCATAACATTCTACATTAGACCAGTTTCTTGTAAGCCTAGTACATCCTTATAGCGTTTACCACACGGGATCTGATGTCATTACTGCAGAAGCCATTCTATGTAATTTGTGAACCTAAATAGGAGAACAGTTGTAGTCTTTCAAACGTGTAACTATCAACTTCTAAGATTGCATTGTTATTCGTTGCTGTGCTCCGTTGTAGTGTATGCTCACTTTCATATGAAATTCACCACCCACTAATATTCAAACTACATTTTGAAACTTCTGAAACTGAAAAATAATGCTTTCTTATCAACTAAGAAACGAAAAAAACTGTTATCTTTCCTGTACCATTGTTATCCCCAACTTTCAATATTTTCTTCCTAAAAATTAATGAATTTCTGTCCACAAAATGTTAGTTTATTTAATTGTCAAATTGTCAAGTAGACGCCTTTAATGCCCCCAGTACGATGTCGTCGAAACTTTGCCCATATCAATGACTGATAGGGGCCGAATTATCGGTATAAAAGAGGCGTGTCTCTCATTCCGAGAGATTGGGAGAAGGCTGAATCGCGACCACACTACAGTTGCTCGGATGTAGTCTTTATGGTCCGAAGAAGGTATTCAGCGGCGCCGTCCGATTAGAAGACCCGCCCGAAGAAGCAACGCACGTGAAGACCGACTCCTTAGGCGGATGGCTACCAGGGATCGATTTTAAACAACAAGGTCAATTGCTGTGGATTGGACGGGAGCTTTGAACCGACACTTGTCGATAACAACAGTTTACAGAAGAATTTCTTCCTTTGGGCTTGATTCATACCGTCTTACCTTCGGCTTCCATTAACACCTCCCCATAAAGCAGCCAGACTTGCATGGTGTCAAGAACGGCAAGGGTAGGTACATCAATGGAATGATATCGTCTTCAGTGATGAATCAAGGTTTTGTTTATGTTATGATGGTCGTAGAAGGGTGCGGCGACATCGAGGGGAAATACGGAATTTAGAGTTCATGCAAAGAGCCTTAACACACAGCCTTAACACCTGGGGTTATGGTTTGGGGGGCGATATGTGCTGGACGAAGGTCACCCCTTCAGGCACATTCCAGTTACATTAAATGCACGTCGTTACAGCGACAACGTTCTGGAACCGGTGTTAGTACCTTTCATGCAGACGTTGCAGAATGCCACTTCCAACAACATAATGCAAGACCCCATACTGCTGTGGTTACAAGAAGGTTCCTAGAGCAGGTTGGATTGCAGATTTTGCCCTGGCCTGCACGGTCACCAGACTTGTCGCCGATTGAACATGTCTGGGATAGGCCCAGGCCTTCTGAGAATCTGGATGAACTTCGACACCATCTAGACTCTAGATGGTCCTCTAGATACTAAAGGTTGCATGGAACAAGATACACCAGAAAGACATCAACCGCCTAATAGAGAGCATGGGTAGAAGAGTTAATGCATGCATAGCTGCGCGTGAGGATGCAACCCACTACTAGCTTTTTTTTTCTTGAAATATGTTAATTTTTGTTTTGTTTTTTTCAACTAAACTTTCATCGTTTCTTAGTTGATAATAAAGCATTATTTTACCGAAGTTTCAAAATTGTATTCTAATTCTTAATGGGTGGTGTATTTTATGTATGTGGAAGTGAGTGTATGATACTAAGCCTTGTCTTCGTTTATCTGTAGCAGTTTGTTCTGCGATTCGCTAGCCAATATGTTCAAGTGTTCTTTCAGTCCTTTTGCACTCCTACTGATAATTGCTATGTTATTGGCATAGGCGCATATCGCCAGCAGTATCTAATTTTCTGAAGGCTGCCTCCAGCACCAGATTGAACAATGTAGCCAATCATCATCCGTGCATCACCCTATCGCATCTTAGCATCCATGCTAAATATGTATACTTGTCTGATCATAATGACGAGAATTACAACAATTTGTTGTCCCCACTACCTGTCGAAGTGTAATTGTTTGTAACGTTTTATATTTATTTTGAATACCATTGCAAGGTTTTTGCTTAACGTTTATGATAACGTAAGAATGGCATCATAATTAATTTAATCAAAAAAACATAAATTCTACATCAGCCAAATAGAATCGTTCTTAATTTCGTTTGCTAATTCGACACTAAATTGAAATAAGTATTTCATGACTATGATAAACTTCAATAACTTCAAGCGATTGTGTTTTATTTAACTCATCAATTCTATCAATTTATGGAATTATCTGTTTAGATGAGAACAATTTTGGAATTTAGATATGCGCAAATGAGTGGAAGAAATCGAAGAAAATTCTTATATTCGAATTGTTTTTTATGTCTCACTCATTCGCTCAATGGTAATGTACGCCTGTGAACTTGTCTGCATTACAAAATAACTTATTGAGAACAGCAGTGGACACCGAAAAGTTTCCAATAAATAAACGAAGAGAGAGAATATTTATATGATTCAATATTTTTTCTATATTTATTACTATTACTTCTCATAAATAAAAGGATTTAGGATTAACTTCATTTCTATTAGAACCTATAAATAACAGTACCTAAACTTAACGGATAAAGAGAGGATTATATTAAAGGGAAGTGCAACCGCAATAATACATTGGCTTTATGAGAGTTGGGGTTCCATGATTAAGTAGAAACTCCTCCCGTTTTCACATTAATTGAAAATAGTAACTGTTGATGAAATGTTACATAATAAATTACTTACCCTGAAACCAACAATTGTTTTTTCCAAATCCCGGTTGATAGAATGTGTTTTCATCACCAACCAGATCCAAAATCAGACCAATTACGGCAATTACAGCTGGAAATCCGCAAGCGTAAACGACGTAAAGGCGCAGCCTGCAACGTTCCTGGCTCTTCTCCAAATTTTGAGGCCGCAAGTCTCTGTAAATAAAGTGAAAAAAAAGGTTATTTATGGCTGCTTTAGAAAACGTCTATTCCATAAGAATTTAAGAAATAGTCGTCTGAATAGAGTAAATTATGTTATCCTTATTTAACCCGAGGGTATTTTTACCAGATGGCGAACAACCCAAAAGATCTCTCCCTCCCTTTCCAGCTTATACTACACAAAGATTTTGTATTACTTTTGTTTAAATATCAACGAAATAGAGAATAAAGCTGAAATTAAAGCATTGAAAGTACAATTCTTGTTGTTGTTGTAGTTTCTTTATGCTCCACCGTTACACAAAGATACCACCAGCGTTATTGTGTTCTCCGTCTCTTTTAAAATCCTGCGCCAGATTGGCGCTGAAACCAATTCATAGTCTGGCTCTCTCAAGTGGGCTGTACCAAATGGGGAACTTCTTTTATGCTTTGGATTCATTAGCGAGAGCGTTTAGGCAGTTGGTGGGTACAAATTGGTGAGGAATGAATCGGCAGATCGGCGAAGTCATCGCCATTGTGGCCGACTTCACAAGTGTTAATCGCGACAATCAAATTAGCGTTTACAAAGAGGCGTCGCAGTCGCTCGCGGCGCTTAATGGAATTGGCTCTTCCTTTAATATTACCATACTTTGATGGTAACAGGAAACTCAATATACAGTTACTTCTCTCTTTTCTACCTAAAGAAACGGCCTCAATGTTAACCGCAAATTCTTTGTTAGAAAACTGTAATCCTAAAACATTGTACACTCGTGAAGTTATGTAAACCTATCACGAGTGTCGTGTACTTATTTCTTTTCCTACTAAAAAGATAAATTACAGGAAAGCTGACGCTGCCGAGATTACCTTGAGACGTGCAACATTTTGCGCAGCACGGATATTCAATATGTACAATAATAAATTTAAATCTTAGGTGATTTTTTAACGGGAGGATTAACGGTACTTCAACTTATTGTTTAATTTAAACACTGGATTTAAACTTAAACAAAACGGATTTATGTGTTTTCCTTCCCGGTATTAAAAGGAGTTGATAAAACTCTATTTTCCAGGAGTATTTGTTATCTTATGGCCGTTATTTTTAAAAACACTTTGTTGTGAGTATGTGGTGTTTTCGAAAATATACGTCTAAAATATATTTAAAATATATATACGGGTCACTTTCAATACATTTTACGAGTGGATAAGAAATTCTCTAAAAAGTTATGAGAATGTCTTCGTCATGTTCTACGCTCCGATTACTTTAGACACCTGGCGTTTAATAGATATAACGGTTGAAATGATAACATTATTTTATTCGTTTTATCAAAAGGTTTTTGCACGGATAGTGGGAAAAGCTATGTGATGGCAAATCCCACTTACTTAGAGTATCTTTTCAGCGTATCTTCTGTGTTAAATTATAAAAAATTGCGTGGCCGGTATAAGGATTTGCATTTCGAAACCCCGCGGACGCGATGCATAGCAAAGTATGGCGCAAGTAACTAGGAATTCTTAGGCAATCGAAGACAAAGTGGGTCGCGGAGAACTTTCCGTTTTGGGCGCGGTGTACTGCTGCAGGTGAATTCACCGTCATGATGAGCTTAATGGTGCCGTTAATGCCAAAGGTTTATTTTATTACCAATCCAAGTTGTAACCCGAAGGTAAATCGCAATTTATTCTCACGCGGTACAATAAATTTTATTACAGAAGTAAGAGGATGCATCCGAAAGGTTTCTCATCGACAGCTACAAAGCTTGTAATCAAGATCGATCGTTATTTGCCAGGGCAAACACGATAATCGCGACCATTAGTACGTCGTAGAAACGATGTGAGGGCTATAAGTTGGTATTCGTAACGCTTCGCCGAACACCTTAAAAAAACGACATAATCCGCGATTAGCGTTGGTTCGTTTCCGGGAAAAATCCTTACCATAATTTTCCATGTTACCGCTCTCTCGGGCTTACGGTTTGTCTTGACAACTATTTTCCTTAACGATTATTTCGACCCGATTCGCAAGAGAAGAGTCACCGCGACAATCGGTCTCGCTACCATCGAGAAAGTCACCGCAATCTAACGGTGTCAACGTCTTTCGGAAACGGACCATGATAATAACGGAAGCAACAACCGAAGAAAACATCGCTAATTGGGTACGACAATAGAGTGGAGTCTACGATGAATTTTAGGTCGATTATAGCCGCAATTGGTGCTGATCTCCAATAGACCGTAATCACTTTAATTCCAACGGGAAGTAGTTGTTTTAATGAGGTGCGGTGATCATTATAACAAATTTTACCGTACGATTGATGAGGTTTTTCAATCACCTTACTCAAATATTTGGTGATACTTATATACTTATTACATAGAAATACTTTTGACATTTGTGTTAGTTGTATCCTAAAGTATATGGTATTTATCCTAAAGTTGATCTTTGTCTTACTACCAATGTGAAGAAAGTGTATTTAAAAGCTTTGCCAAAAGTAGCAATTTTTAATGAAATACCGCCTTGTTTCGGACTTTCTTCTCAACCAATAACTACTCGCTGGGGAACATACGGTTTGTTCCTACAGACAGTAAGAAACAAGTTAGTGGCTTGTTCTTGATTGTATCACAAGGAGCATCCGTCAACTTATCTAATTTGTAACTTGTCGACGATTTTTGAAGGAACATCACATTATGGAGATTATGTGCTAAATACATTTTAAACAAAAGCTCTATACAGGGTGTTTCGGTGACTCGGAGAACAAATTTAACCACATATACTAGAGTGAAAATGATGACGATTCATGTAAATTAGTGTAAATTAGTAAAAGTCTTCAAATTTTAAAGATACAGGCCATCAAAGTAAGGAAATTTTAACACATTTTTCCAAATATCTTAAACACTATTTACAGTAAAGCACTGAAATTTGATACAGTATAAATCAATGTGATGTAAAATCGTTAGGCAATTTATGAGTTAGATCGGTCCGCGGGGACAATGCTATACAGGCTGTTCCTAAAGTTTGTTTGCTCAGAACTTTTTTATTCTATCATAACCCTACATTTATTTTTGCAGTTTCTAATAGTAAATTTAGTTTAGAAACTTTTATTGCTCTTAGATAATATTGATAAAAATCACCGTTTTCGTGTTAAATGCAAAAATGTTGGGTTTCGATTTCAATAGTAGCACTAAAAAAGAAAGAAATCTATGTTTTTGAACATTTCTTTTAGTATTTTTTATTACTTGTCTTGTTATTTTATGTACCTTTTTTATTATTCCCGTTAGTGTTGTCGTTTTTTGTTTATTTTTTGTTGATTTTTAATTTATTGTTTTTGGATTCTTTTATTAAACCAACTAAAACAAATTAAAAATGTGATTTAGCTAAACCTACACTTGGACATGTTGCATACATAATAGTTATGACAGCTCAGTTCGATTTTCACTTGTCATTGCCAATTCAGATTATTTATATTTTTTTTTAGTGTTATTGAATTCGGAGCCTAAAATTTTTGCATTTAATACGAAAACGGTGGATTTTATCAATATTCTCTAAGTGTAATAAAAGTTTCTAAACTAAATTTACTATTAGAAACTGCAAAAATAAATGTAGGGTTATGATAAAATAAAAAAGTTCTGAGCAAACAAACTTTAGGAACAGCCTGTATAGCATTTTTCCCGTGCACCGATCCAACTCAAAAATTGCCTAATGATTTTGCGTGATGTTGGTTTACACTGTATTAAATTTCAACGCTTTACCATAAATAGTGTAAGATGTTTAGAAAAATGTGTTAAAATTTTCTAACTTTGATGGCCTGTATCTTTGCAATTTGAGGACTTTTACTAATTTTTTTTTATATGAATCGTCATCATTTTCACTCTAGTACATGTGGTTACATTTGTTCCCCGAGTCACTGAAACACCCTGTATAATAGTATTCCACCACTCGTACAAAATAATCTGTAGAATTGAGGAATATAGATTAGAACGTAAATCAAATTGTAATTCTACTATTCATATGTTAATTAGTTTGATTTCAGTTCTACAAGAATTTTTAATAATTCATTTTTGGTATGATTATTTAACTGAGATGTTTGTCATTTATTCTAATCAAAACTGATGTTAAATGTCTTTCTGTTTTACTTTTTATTTCTTTCTATTTTCCTCTTAAATACAGGGTGTTTCTGTAAGTCGTGGCATAATTTTAATCACAAATACTAGAGCCAAAATGATGACGATTCGTGTAAAACCTTTTGGTCTAAACCCATAAATGACTAAGATATAGGCAATCAAAGTTAAGAGATTTTTAAACATTTTCTTAAATATTTTCAATATGGTTTGCCGTAGAAAGATAAAATTTGGCAAACGGTGCAATGTTATCATGAGAAATCGTATAAGATCACTTTCGAAAATATTCAAACATGGGATCAATGACTTTTTTATTATGTCATAAACTATCAATTTTTCATCTGATTTTAAAAGCCTATTTTATTTTGAAATTATTTTTACACTTACAAATTATTTTTGTTTAGACGCATCGTTTTCGAGTTATTCACAAAAAGATTTAAGTTCGTTTAAAAGAAATCTGCCAAATTATTACTCAACGTAGCATGAAATCTAGATTTTCTTCAGTACAATTATTCTTCAGCATATCTCAAATTAATGGTTATCTGTAAAAAGTGTTTTTTTTTTAAACGCAGCATCAATAGATGGAAATAGTAATACATATTTCCATCATAGTACAGCAACACTGTATTTGCAACGGATGATCAGTAATTTTAAATTCTTGTACTTTCGACAAATGGATGGATACAATTGCTGTTCATGTAGGAAATGCCAGTACCTTTGGATATTCTGAAATGTCTAAACTGTTGCTATCAATAGTACTAGCAGTACTACGATCTGCCACAAAATCCAAAATGTTTTCTTCTAGTTGTGATGTACGAACTGACCTCAGATTCCCGTTATTTACAAGCTTGTCTCAAATTTCCTGTCTCACGTAAATGTCTTTCGATATTTAGAAATGTTTTTAAATCAGCTTGTCTTTACTT